CATTCTGGGATATGTGTACCTTACAGGATAGGTGAACTACTGTGGTGGTAAACCTTGTGCAGATTAGGCTTGATATGGCTCAAAACTAAGAAGGCACAATGGGTCATCCTCCTCCTATTGGCTAGCATTCTCCTCTATTACCTTTCCCTTGGTTAGCTTGTTCAAAGCCTCTAATATCTTATTCAACTCTTCTTCTAACTTCTCTTGAGCTTTCTCTAATATTTCGAAATGATTAGAATTTTCTTGTTCTATTTGCCTGGCTCAAGCTCTTGCGTTGTATTGGTGAGTGAAGTTGCTTGGTGGAGCTATCCTTGAACCTTTAGCACCACAATTATGATTAAAAATGCTATGCTATGCTTTATGTATGATGCTTTGATGCATGAATGAAATGTATATTTCCTGAATGAAATCTAATATGAAATGGATGTAAATGATTGTGTTAAAACATGATCATGAAAATAATACAGATGCATACAATCAGACAAACAACATAGTTAGTTCTATGGATGAAATGAAAGTGATGCTGATGCATAATGTTACATATGATAATGAAAATGATACACAAAGTTAAACAATCAAAATGATTAGATAAACACCCTTTTCGTGTCTTAATTTCAGGGTATATCTATCATTGGGTAGAAATGGCTCTATCCTAGGTTTAGGCACTCTTAAGTTCACTATATGCGTTTTAAGGTCAAAGTTTAAAGGTCCTCAAATTGTTCCTTACATCCTTGTCCATCACAAACTAGTAAGGCACCCTAATCCTCACCCATTACAGGCTACAAGCGAAAAAGGTTCAATTTCAGTGGGAGTATTTCGCTAGCCACTACGGAGGCATTAGACCTCACGAAAGCAATAGGTACTTTACTTCCTCCTAGAGGGACGGAGCTCGGGTGTAGAGCTCATGTTATGCACATGCATATGAATGACATAATTAATAAGGTAAATAAACATGAATGAATAATAACACATATATACAAAAAGGTTCAATTTTATTAGGCTTTTGGATAACACAAATTATTTGCTGGCCTGACTCTCAAAGTCCCTAACGGAGTCGCCAAGCTGTCATAACGTCTAGATCCGGGGATCTATCGCTAGACATTGACTTTTAGAAGTCGCCACCAATCTTTTTTATCTAGGTGTGATTGGCCACCTAAAGAATCTGTCCTTTTAGGGAACACCTAAGTTTAAGGGCCCCTAAAAGAATATGTTCAAGTCTACTAACCAGAACAAAGTTCGGGAGTTCGAATACGTGTGAGGAAGTTTATAGCACCCTCACAACGCCCATAAAAAGATGGTACCAGCTTAAATTTGTGTTATCCAATAAGCCTTAAAATTTTACCAAGTAATTAGTTATTGAAAATTATTCTCAATTGACTCTAATACTTTTAGCAAAAAATTGAGAAAATTCCCTCACCTCAAGAGTATGCAAGAAAAACTACTGTTTCACTTGCAGAGGTTCCATTGTTAGATTATTTAAAGAAAAATCAAAATCAAAATCAAAATAAAAAGGAAGAAAAGAAGGATTTTTCTTGTGCAGGAAAAATTGATACTTTCAACTTTTTTCCAAAAATATTTTTTGAAAACTTTTATTTTCAAGAAAAATTGATACTTTTCAACTTTTTCCCAAAAATATTTTTTTGAAAATTTATTTTTAAGGAAAATTGACACTTTCAACTTTTTCCCAAAAATATTTTTTTTGGAAACTTTGATTTTCAAAGAAAATTGATACTTTCAACTTTTCCTCAAAAACTCTTTTTTTGAAATTTTATTTTTAAGGAAAATTGATACTTTCAACTTTTCCTCAAAAACCTTTTTTTTGAAATTTTATTTTTAATGAAAATTGATACTTTCAACTTTTCCCCAAAAATATTTTTTTGATTTTTATTTAAAGAAAATAGAATAATAAAACAAAATAAAAGTGAAAATAAATAAAAATAAAATAAAGAAAAGTAAAACAAAAATAAAAATAAAATAAAGATAAAAAGAATATTAAATAAACCTAATATAATAAATAAAATAAATAAAAAATAAACAAATAAATAAATAAATTCAAAAAAAAAATTGAAGTGGCTCGGAGTACGGCTCAGCTCGGCTCGGCTCAAGAAAGAGAAAACGGCTCGGAGAGGCGGCTTGGGACCTCGGCTCGACTCGGCTATTGGCTCGGAGGAGGGAGACATGCACGGGTCAGGAAGCGAGAAGTCGTTCGGGTCAGGTCAGATCTCGGTAAAACGTGCGGATCCTTTGGGTCACTTAAGGCAAAAACGACGTCGTTTTGAGAGGATATATAAGGCTATTTCCTCTATTTTTTGACAGAAAGCTCCTCCCTTCTCTCTCTCTTCTTCCTTTTTTCTCTCGCTTCTCTCTAAATGGTCGAAGAACTCCGATGGAATATTCGTCGGATTCTGAAAATTTCATCGGAATCTGGGTTTTTCGTCGGAAGTTTACCGAAAAGTTGGTCGGTTTCTAGATCCTTCGTCGAAAACTGGGCAGCTCGTCGGAAACTTCAAAGTTGGTCGAAATCGTCGTCGGAAAATACAAGTTTCACCGAAAAATTCAACCGAAATCTGGAATTTTCTAGAAATTCCCAAAAAAAAATCGTCAAAAATCTCCAAAAAATTTTTGCTAACTTCCAGAACACTTTTAAACCTTTTCTTAGCCTTCTATACTCTTCTATACGCCTCTTTTCTCTCAAATCAGTAGCTTTTTGCTCACTGGTTTTCTATATCTTCTGTTCTGTTCCAGGAGGTCCCTTTTATAGGGATTGATAAGAAGAGTTTCTGATCAATCCCTATTCTTTTTTGGACGGAGATTCAATCTTTGAATCCAATCTGCACTCTGATTGAATCCCCATTCTCAGCAAGATTCTTCAACAGGATTCAATCCCAGCCTTCCAAAATAAAAATCACATAAAAAAAATTAATAGATAATTAGAAAAATAATAATAAGATAAATAAAAAATAATATTATAAGATAAATAATAATAATAATAATGACAGATAAATAGATATATAATTAGATAAATAAAAATACATACAAAATAAAATGAAAAAGAAAAAAAAAGGAAAAATAAAATAAATATATATATTAATAAATAATAATAATAAATAAATAATAAATACATAGGATATTAAGAAAAATATATACATAAAATATAAAATAAAAATAACAAAAATGTAAAATAAAATTGGACTTACCCATTTGGACCAGACCCAATTGATCCGGGCCTGAACCAAATTGGGTGTCTACAGATGGATAAAAAACTTATAAGAAAAAAATTCTAAGAGGAAATAGATTTTTAATAAGTAAGTTAGTATTCTTATAAATAGTGGAGTCTATACTGGATTAGGTATGAGAAAAAAATATAAGAAAATTATAAAATTTTATAAGATAAACGAACCATAGAACTAAAAAAAATTGAAAAGTTCTTTATGGGTGTATATATTTGAGTGGATTAGAAGAAATTTAGATGATCATGTAGGTATAATAAACCACATGGATATATATATTTATTTGAATTTAGAATATTTTATTGGATTATAGAAAAATGATAGGGTCCACGGGTATTAATAAGTGTTGATTGATATGATTGTATATTTATAAGTCTATACAATTAGTAGATCCTTTTTCATTGGTGAACATAAGTCAATTAGATTGAATGACGTTAAATTAATTAATTAATTATTAGATTTTATTTCTCCTAACTTAAATATTTAATTGATCGGGACTTCTTTCCTAACATTATAATTGTTTTCTGTGTTTGTACGTATGTGTATATTAGATTATTTGCAGATGTGAATGTTTTTGGATATATATTAATTAGTGGATGGCTATACTGTTAGACAACTATCGGTGGCATTCTGAAGAAATTTCACTTTTTAGCTCTACATTTTCCAACTTGAAATCAAGGAATAGTTTGAGTGAAACGACACAACTAGTTACTTGTCAATTGCCATCAAAGCAGATGGCTTCTAAGTTACTAGGACTGCTTTGGCAATGGGTTATTTGGCTGCCTGTACCCTGCTTTTCATTCGTTAATAGAGCATTTTTTTTTTAATTGCGAGTCAGAAAAGAGAGAGTGGTCCATAGGTGAAGCTCTGATATCCGTTATAAATTTGGCTTGTAGTGCTTAATTATATTTACTTACTTAGGAAGGAATGGCCGAATGGGAGTGCTTTTGCAATCGGCAAAGACTGAGCCCGATGTAATAATGTAATAATGTTTCATTGAGTTTGGTTTTTTCCTGTTTTCTTTGTTGTTGCCTGTCTGTACAGCTGATTCTTCTTCTCTATAGCGGGTATCTCCTGCTTTCTTTGGTTAATACAAATTAATTATTCAATTCAAAAAAATAAAAGAAAGAAAAGAAAAAAGTGGCCCATGGTGGGAGACAGTAGGTTGGTTGATGTGGATTGGGGAATGAAATGCCACAATTATTTCGGGTGATAAAGTGCGTTTAGGTATGATGCGCGGTATCTTCCTTTTTTTTTTTTTTTCTTTGAATTTGTTATGTTGTTCTTTTTAGAAAGATAGTCATTCAAGAAACACTAATTTTGTTGTGGAACTTTTGCTATGCTTTGTTGTTTGCTTAATTTGGAGAAATTAGATTTATACTTGTAAAACTTAATTAATCAACTATAAACAAATGGATTTATCTTTTGAAAGAGATGGAAGAGTTAATTTGTAATGTGAGTGACTTTTCTACAAGGTTTTTTTTTTTTTTTTTCTTTTTTTTTAATTCTTATTATACTTATTGGCCAAGCAACTATATCTTTGTAGAAGGCTACTTGCTTGAATTAATTAAGGACACGTAAGGTTGAGTTTAGATGAAATCAAGAGGAAAGTGCCAACTAAGTTGGTTAATTAGTATGTAAAAATTAGATTCAATTACCATGTCTTCATACCTATAATATATTTGAAGTTGAATTAGGTTTAATTAATTATGTTTTACTAATGCTAAAGGTTGGGGATATACAGGGAAGGGAAAGAACTAACAAGAAAAATTAAAGGAGAAGAATTCTTTATTAATTGGGACACTTGAGAATGGGCAATATATTGGTTTCACATTAAATTGACAAAAAGTAACAACCCACTAAATAATTTGATGAAAAGGAAACAATGGGTAATGGACTAGTACATCATTGTCTTGGCCAGGACACAGACACTAACATAACATGACAAATTTGACAGCCCCCACTTATCATCAAGCTTAACACAGCTTTACATCAATTTGACAAACAAACTATTGAATTTATAAAAACAAATAAAGGCCAACCAAGTGGCAACAAGAAGAAGAATGCCGCAATCAACACACATTTTGAAACAAGATTCATACACCGAATCGCCACCTGTAAATGAAAACAGAATGACTTAATTGCCAAAATAGTGCCACCTCATCCACATATAATAACAATTTTACAACTAGAAAATAAAATTCCACCATTATCTAGCCCTCCGCAGCTTTCAGTCTAAAACTTGTAAATAAAAAATAATAATAATAAAAGCCTAATTAAAAATATATATATATATATATACATTTTTTTTGCACACTTATCTAATATATAAATTTTAAAAATTTTATTTAATCCATAATTTTGCAACCTAAAATTTTTTATTTAAATATTTAAAATAAAAAATAAATGTATTAAATGAAAGCTCTATGAATATTTTGGTTTTACATTCACCATCATAGTTATCGCGGGTCCGTAGATGATGGATCATGACAAAAGAGTTGAAGGGTATCCATCATGCATGGGCTCAGCTGTTAGGACCTGGATTATAGCAGCAAAGAATTTTGCTAGGATACTTCTACATGTGCCCATTCCCCCCCCCCCCCCCCCCCCCTTTTTTTTTTAAGGATATAGTCTACTTTCTTTTCACTTTTTAATCTCTTCACTATCTCTTTGTTGTTTAGGACAACATTAGATACATATATTTTATAAACTTATTTTATATATTTATTTTTTATTTTAGAAATATAAATAAAAAGTATTAAATTTTTGTAAATTATAATAAAATTATAAAAATTTATTTATTTATTTATTATGTAAGTGTGATATAAGCGTAAAGGGAGTGCATAAAACTCTTCTTTTTATCGTAAAATTAACTTTGCATTTTAGTATGAACTATGAAGGAAAACATTAATATTTGTACAAGAGAAAAAAATTTTCGATAATTACATAAAAAAGAAAAGAAAAGAGGGAAAACTTTCGATTAGAGTAAAAATGATTACTTTTTAAAATTGCAAAGTTAAGCCACACATTTTTAAAATTGCAAACTACTACCACTGGATACCATGCCATAATATTTTCTTCTTTTCATTTATTCCCTTGCCTTTATCACACATATTACCGGTACATAAACATAGTCTACACTCTAGGTTTGTTTTCATTTACTTTCCAAGAAAATGAGAACCCTTCATTTTATAGGAGTGTGATCTGTTTCTTTGCTTCCAAAAAGAAAATGATTTGAGTATAATTAATTAATTAAACTCAGTGAATCGATCCTTCACTTGAGGAAATTAAAGGGAGAATTAAGTTAATGAGAGGTTGCTTACTTATAGAAGATGGAATTAGATGACTATTTGGTGATGGCATAGACTGCATAAATGATACCAGGGAGGTATCCAAGGAGGGTCAGTACAAGACAGATCCAGAACTCCACCTGCATCAAATTAACAAAATCCAACAGCCCAGTATTAATTAATTAATTAATTTTACTTATACTATCACAGTATATGAGAACTCAGAAGAAATGAAACTGATATATCATCATATGTTAAAAGTTTGATATGGATGATGACCTTGCAACCATACTTGAGGAAGACTCCAAGAGGAGGTAATATGATGGCTAAGAGGATATCTATGCAGGTAGCTGTGCTATCATCTGCCATTTTTCTTCTTCTTCTTCTTTTTCTTCCAAGCCAAAAAGATAAAAGCCTTTTCTTTCCTACTTTCTTTCTTTCACCGAGACAACAAAGGACGGGACAGAGAAGAAATTCAAGAGTGTTTTCAGAGGGTTCTAGTACGTAAGGTAAGATAACTACTTCGCCTTCGGTGTGGGTGTGGGTGTGGGTGTGGGTGTGGATATGAGAGAAATGGCGATAGTGATATATAAAACCCCAAGAATTAACGTGTCAGATGTGATAGGCAGTTGATTGGTAGATACGTTAATGAATCGTGATGATAATGGTCACTTGGTTCCTTCTTTAACGTTGTAAAGTTCTTCACATGTTGATGTAGATCGATGCAGTAGTAAAATGTTTGCTTGTTGGTGTAGGAAGTCGGTTTAAGACGTTGCTTGAGGGTTTACGCTTCAACTTTACGCTCTGGAATGGAATCCTATACCTACATACTGCAGCTCAGTCCATTAGCTGCCCATGTGCTTGGCTTTCATTGGAGTGGACCTCATCAACTCTCCACGTGGCATTCACAACAGTGTGACAAAATCAGACGGCTCGGAGTTTGCCGCATAAATCTGGAACAGTGGCGGCCAGGGAGGCATGTTATCTGGTGATCACCATTCACATCCATCCAGATGTAGCTTTCGTATGAACACACGCATGTGAGATAAACCGCCCTAGTGCTTCAATCTTTATCTTAACCGACAAGTCAAAAACATTCAAGTAAGATGTATCATATAACCGTCCTCCTCTCCCACCCACGCCCACGTGTGCCAGGTTAGATATGCCAATCTGTCATCTCTCAAGTTAACATCTCATCTCACCGTGCATGTAAATATTATTATCTAAAAATCAACTGTATCTTTTGTTAATTAGCAGTTTAATAACTTAATTAAATCAATTACACAAAGTGTTTTTTTTTTTTTTTTAATATTGGTATTGGATTTTTACCTTATAAGCAATCCAACAGTACTCTAAATAGCCGGAGTAATAATTTGGATTAAACTCCCATATTCACGTAAGTGTTTATTTTATTTAAGAATGATTTTAGTCTTTTAGAACTATCATGTTTTGCATGCCTCTTGATAAGAAAGCTTCAATTCCCAACCTCCACCGAAGCTGCTTGGATAGAACTTTTTATCTATATATATAAATATAAAAGAAAAAAAAATCTACACTTGTCAATATACATCAAATTTGCCAAATATCTAAATCTTGTGACCAACATTCTTATTCTTTTATTTTATCTGGAAATACCATTCTTATATGATTTATAAGAAATAGTACTGACGCAACTATTTTATATGTATCATATGGCTTTAATGATCGATGGTTAATTGGCATCTTCTACACACATGGATGTTGATGTGAGAAGATCATTCTAATCAATCCAATTTAAAAAAAAAAAAAAGAAAAAAAGCCCAAAGCCACATCATTTGTTGTGAGTTCAAAAGACGTTAATTAGTTAGCCTTTAGCTTAACTAATTTATGTCACGTGTGTCAAACGATATCTATTTGTTAACATAAAATTTTATTTGAGTAAACATCATATTTTTTAGTAACAATTTTTTAGTAGGCTAAAAACGCCTTTAATAATTTTTTTTAATTTTTTTTGAGATTATTCAAGATGTTTTTGATAAAAAAATACCTTAAATAGTTTTTTTTTTCATTTTTTTTTATTATTCAAGGTATTTTTGGATTATTCAAGGTATTTTTAGCTAAAAATGCCTTGAATAATCTCCTTCATTTTTTTGAAAAACTATTCAAGTCATTTTTTGCAAAAACAAATGTTTTCAATAATCTCCTCTCATTTTTTGAGTTTATTCAAGTTATTTTTGGTTAGAAAACACTTTGAATAAGCTTTTACAAAAAATTAAATGGGGTTATTCAAAGTATTTCAAGCAAAAAATGTCTTGAATAATCCCTTTTGATTTTTTTTTAGATTATTCAAGGTATTTTTAGTCAAAAATACCTTCAATAATCTCTTTCAATTTTTTTGGAGATTATTCAAAGTGTTTCTGGCCAAAAACATCTCTAATAATTCATAAAAAAAAATAGATTATTCAAAGTATTTTTGATCAAAAAATGTTTTGAATATTCCCTTTAAAAAAATTAAATGGGGTTTTCAAGTCGTTTCTAGCAAAAAACACATTGAATAATCCCTTTTCATTTTTTTTAGGATTATTCAAGGTATTTTTTTTACAAAAAAAATACCTTCAATAATCTCCTTTCATTTTTTTTTGGATTATTCAAAGTGTTTTTTTTATCAGAAAACACAATTGAATAATCTCTTAGAAAAAATTGAAAGGGTTTACTCAAGGCGTTTCCAAAAACGCTTTGAATAATCTCTTATAAAAAATTGAATGGGGTATTCAAGGTATATTTGACAAAAAATACCTTGAATAATCTTCATCATTTTTTATTGGAGATTATTCAAGACTTTTTTTTCACAGAAAATACCTTAAATAATCCTCTTTAATTTTTATTGGGGATTATTCAAGGTGTTTTTGACCAAAAACATCTTGAATAATCCCTTACTAAAAACACTGGAGCAGTTCAGTTGGTTAGAATATATGGCTATTAGCCATAAAAATACCTTGAATAATTCCTTATTAAAAATAATGGAGCAGTTCAGTCAGTTAGAGCATATGACTATTAACCATAAGGTCTTAAGTTTGATTCCTTCTACTAGTGTTTTAAGGGTTTTTAAAGGAGTGCAAAAACGCTTGTTAGCGGCGTTTACATTATAAATGCCTTGAATAATCCATTATTAAAAACATTGGAGCAGTTATTAACCATAAGGTTCTAGGTTCGATCTTTTTCTTTATTGTTTTGAGAGTTTATTAAGAAGTGCAAAAACGCCTATTAGCGACGTTTACAATAAACGCAGCTATATTTATGAAAGTCAAAGTATATAGCAGTGTTTAAGTCAACAAACATCACAAAAATATATTTTTAGTGACGTTTTTAAATCCAAATGCCACTATCTAAGAATTTAGTGACGTTTTATAAAAAAATGCCGCTAATCTTATATAAACACAAAACTTTGTGGCGTTTATTTAAAAATGCAGCTAAAAAATAGTCACTAAATCTTCATTTTTCTGTAGTGGATGTAATAAAAATTAGTGTTAAATATAAAAATAGTCTTTGTAGTATATATTTTTTATTAGTTTGGTATCTAAATAAATAAAACTTACATTTTGATACTCACACTTTCATTCTTTTGGTACTATAAACTAATATTATTAGTCAACTTACTTATGTAAAATTAATATCTAAAAAAATTATGACATGCCACATCATCTAATTTTCACATCAGTATTTAAATAAAATATTTAAAAAATATTTTTAATTAAAAATTAAAAATTGATAAAGACAAAGATTCAAGGAGAGAGAAAATGAGAAAATAGAAAAAAGAGAGAACGGAAGGAAATGGAAGGGGTAGTGTTTGAATTTAATAGAATAACTATTAAGGTATGATTCTATTCACATGAATAATATGAGTTTAAGTTATTCTATAAAGCTTTTAATCTTGATTTTGTCTCTACAATTATAATTTAATAGGATCAACTTTAATAAATGGTGTGAATTATTCTTTACAATTTTGGGCATAAGGAGTTCGAAAATGGCTTGAGAGTTGATCACCTTTTATACCCATTTTTAGGAGCTTGATTAAAAACAAAAAGGCAATGTGATTCCAAAAGATACTCTAATTAAAATTGTCTGATGATCTATAGATATACCATTAATGAATTCATTAGATATAGTGTTTTATACACTGATAATTAAAGATGTCATTAGAATCAATTTGAAAAGTTCTATAAGATTGAAATATCAAACCACATAAGTTGTTCACCATTATCATATTTGTTGGGTAAATGGTTTCCATTAATATATTTTGAAAATGATCAAACCTTAAAAGAGGAAACCAGTTCCTGTTGTGATAAATTTTTTTATTGCTTTTTTCTAAGGGTGACAGTGTAAAATCCACTCATAAAGTACAGAAGCATATGGGATTTAAATATCTTGAGTGATACAACATCTAAAAAAATGAAATATTATAAGCCGATGATCTCATTTTGCCTTCAAAATGATACAGGTCAATACTATTACCAAATGAAACACTATTGAAATGTCTCATTAAAGGTTATTTAAGGAAAAGAATTTTATGAATTATGTTTCCCATTTTCGTTCCACGAATGCCTTTAAACTTGAAAATAGAGGAATTTAGAAATGTGTGTGCTATAAATTGGAAAGTGAAACAAGGCATTTTGTTAGCCTTTTCTGTCGAATTCAATCTGGAAACTATGCCTTTTACTTTTTGTGATGGGTACTAGTTTATTTATGAAAATGGGTAATCTTCTTCAGTTATGCATAAAGTGAATGATGTAGTCTTTGGTTCTAATAATGGTAGAATAAATAAGAGGTCTACCATGTTGTGGTATAGAAATTAGGGACATTATGAATTTGGCATATATGTAGATTGCATTAAAAAGTTTAGAAATTGATGTATATTGACAATTGTGGACCATTTCCACTTATTGTTTTCAATGGATATAAGCATTTCATCACCCTTACTAAAGACCATTTAGGTTTTGTCATATGGAGTGAGAAGTTTGACTTTGTGAAATTCTTAAAGTTTTTTTTTTTTAATTTATTGTCGAGTTTTTAAAAATACAAAATTAATGCAATAAGTTCAAACGTAGCTAAATACTATGGTTGGTATGATGAAACTAGGTGTAATTTTGGACTATTTTGTTAAGTCTTTGCAAGTTTGTGGTGTTATGCCTAACATGTTGTACTTGAAATACCGAAAGAATAAGGTTACAATAAAAGACAACCACACACTTCTATATATAATGTGATATATACTAAGTCATTCCACATTTATGGATTTCATGTAAAATGAGCCTTAGAAACTGCAACATTCAATTTAAATCAAGCTCTAAGTAAAATTGGTTCCTAAAAGTCATCACAATTATGGTCAAACAAGAAGTCAATTTTCGAGTCGCTTTTCGTGTTTGGGGTTGTAATAAAGATCTACAACCCATAATCAATAAAACTTGATTAGAAATCTATCAGTGGCATTTTGTTGACTGTTGCATTGATTTTAGAGATTCTATATTTAGCTATCCATCCATCATACAATATTGAACTAGTAGGTCTAACTATATAATCTATTTAGAGGATGACTTAGTGGGAGTATTAGGTCTTGAACTTCAAAATTCATTTTTATTGAAGGATATGTTCTTGTAACAATCCTTTGTGTAATTTAGTCATTAATGGAAAATGATACAAACAGATGAACCAACAGTAGATTCCAACAATCTCATTTTCGAACTTGCAACTGAACTTATAGAAGAACATGAATATGGTGTTCATGTGTCTTCTGATTCAATTATGTTTTAGGAAGCTTTTGGTGATTCTAACTTTTGAGTTGGATATTTGCCATGCAATATGAAATCGTATATATGTTGTATAATAATGTGTGGAATCTAGATGAATGATCACATTATTATAGTGCAATTGATTATAAATGGACTTATAATTTTGAAAGGCATTCCATAAGCAGAGTAGAACGGTTTAAAGCCAATCTTGTGGCCCAAATCCAATTCCAACCACCATGTTTAATAGCAATATTATCCTTTGATAACTCGTAAGCATGTTTAAGAGAGAATTGGAGAAAATTTCCAACACAGTTTGTCTTGTTCATGTCCTAATAATTGAATTGGAATAGCTTTAATACAATTCAAAATGTTATCAGGAAGCCAAAAGGTAATATTGTCCCAATTCCTTATACCCCCTTGATTGATAGATAATACCACTAACACTAATTTCGTCACCAGTTAGAGATCCAGATATATGACTTCTAAGAGGGCCAAGACCAGTCCAATTGTTATGCCAGAAAGATCCAAACGTTTCTATGTGCATAAATAGACAAGGATTAAACTACATTATATTGATAATATATAAACATGGCACATGTTTGTTCAAAGTCAAGTGTCATTTTGGTTAAATTATATATAGAATAAATATACTTATAGAAAAGAAGTATTATTATAATGTCATAATCTTGAAATGAGATAATCTTTTTTCACTTAAATTTTTTATAAAAAAAAATCAACTATATAAATATGATTTATTTTTCATCCTATAAATCTCAGTAATTTAAACTTTTTATATTCAAGCTAACAACTAGTGTCCCTCTAAATTAAAATGTGTTAATATATATGCAAAATCTCACATGAGTTACTAAAATGTTTTTGTTTTTAATTTTCTTAACCGGTAACCATATCTTTATCTTCCAAGAAGGTTTTAAAAAAAATGAAACACTGAAATTTGAAGCATTATTCTCTCCAAATGTTTAAAGAAATTGTAAAAATTAATTTTTTTCTTGGATAAAAAGGCGAATAATAGAAAGCAATAGACCCAGCAGGAAGACATCTAGCGAATCATATTAAGTAAAAAAAAAAAAAAAAAAAGAGTGATAAACTCTAAGATTAAAACATAACAGTAGTAGTTACTAATCGTGCAGCACTACTAAAAAGAGTTAGCTCAACCATCATTTGACAAATATATATATATATATATATAAACTATATTTTTTATCTTTCTTTGTTTTTTTAATAAATAGAAAAATTAAACTAGTATTGTTGAAAAGAATGAAGTCAAGTCTTTCAATTGAGAGATATAAATATGCCAAAGTTCTAGGTGCCCACCACTGACCATATTAATCATTAAGACAAACCTATCGTAGTTCAAGGTTTAAATTTGTTTCAAGGTTTAGTGTATTTCGTTTAGAATGCTTATAAGCTTACCATGATTACTTTGCCTTTTTTTTTTTTTTTTGAATAAAAGCTTACCATGATTACTTATAGCGAAAGCAATCAACTTTTCATTAAAAAAAAAAATCGAATTCGATTTATCCATGTCTAGTTTAATAGTAATATGAAAATTGTAACTTTATCTTCTCACTCAAGTAGTGCTTTTTTTATTTTTTTATTTTTCATAGGAATCACTTTAGCTTTACTTGCTTTATTTATTAGCCAGTGTGCAAGGAATAAATCAGGATGAGAGGTTGAGGTGATGGAGTGAAATGGGTGACAGACGGAGCTCTAGAGATTATGGGCCTATAGGCTGGGTGACAGACATGCACAACTCCGGACTGCCATCCAAACTTAACCCAATAAAATTGCCACAAACTCTCCTTTACCTCAGCCCATCTTGGCCTGCTTTTCCAAAGTCCAGGGCTTCCAGGCCAACCAACCCATTCTTCTTTATTTATTTATTTTTTTGACTGAAAAGTAGAGAACTGAATTTTTAATTCTAATATGAGAGTTTAAAACAATATCAAACATAAAAAAAAAAAAAAAATAGGAAACTGAATCAGCTACACTATCATTACCATCTAGTGTACGTGTGTATGTCAGTGTCACGCATGAGTCATGACTGAACTCATGGAAAGTGAGGAAGACATTCCAATGTTTCTTTTTTTTGTAGAAATAAAATAGAAAGACATACTCCATTCCAACAAAGATCATCTCGATCTGGATCTTGTAGTGGTTTCTATTCTTTGTTAAAAAAAAAAAAAAAAAACTACTCCTAAGTTTAGTAGTAGAGAGGAGTGGCATAACAATCAATGAATCAAAACCTTACAGAACTACTAACATAAAATACTGAACCATCCTTAAACAATTTGTTCTCTTTGTTTGGCACTGGTAACTCCTAAAGTTAATGTATTATGCTGCAGCCTTATCCAAATTTTAGAATCCTGTCAAGCTCTCTATTAACTTCCATTTTTATATTTACATTGCTATATAAAATAATGAGCAAAACTAAACATCATACAACTTGTGATGATGTGAATGTGCTCGTGTTTAGCAGATAGTAATCAAGAGTTACCTCTCTTCTATGCATATATGTGAATTGTAAAATCTATAGACACTAACATTCCTTTTCTACATATTTGCTTCCCTCATGAGCGGTCTTTGGCTGTAAAAGAATGGTGGTTTGCAGTTTGCCAATGATGAGAGTTGGCCTGAAAACGGCAACAAAAAGTGAGGGCAAAATGGGGTTACTAACAGCCCGTGTTCAGCTAGCCTTGGTTGTTGGTATCTTAAATCTTGATGATGAAATGTATCGGGTGAAGTTCAACAGTTTCCTTGAGGATGGAATTCTTTGACGACTATAAAGGATCTAGCCAACCTCCCTCAAGCCCCAAACTCCGATGTTACTGCATTAGTCATTACCCTTTGATTTTATTTTTATTTTTTTCTTATTTGAGATCAATTCATTCGTTATACGTGAAGCTGAAACTATAACAATATTTTAGGCCCTTTACTTGGTAGCTAATTAAGCTCCAAATCTAATGAATCAATAGAAAAAAAAATATAAGAAGATATATTTAAGATGTAGCAACAGATAAACATCATATACAGATCATCGCACGTATATTTCCTGCTTTTTGAAGTTCCCATCTAAATACAGCTGGTCGCTGGAAATTGCAGAATCATAAACAAATCTTAGCATGGGTATTTACTATTTTTAGATTTTTTTTTCATCTAAATACTGAAGGCATGCTTGACTCCATCTCCTCGAGGCTTAAGTCTTAACTTCCCAAGTTCCAAATTACAGAATCAACAACCTGTAGAATCCAAGGATCTCAGATGCAATCCAAGATCCAAGACCGCGGCCACGCAATAATCCGAAAAAAAGAGCAAAATCCTAACTTTAAATTGGAAGCCATGCTCAAAGAAAGAAAATATTATGCATCAGTTTCCTCATAGATTGAGATGTTACAGAAGAAGCGCCACGCAAAAGAAAAGCTTCACTGTCATACACATATGGCATGATTGGATGGATCACATGTATAGATTAAAAGAAAAAGAATAAAAAAAAAGAAACACACATGATAGTATTCCAGATTATGTACAAACCACTATCATAGATGGATCATGGGAGGGAGATCAAGTTGTATGCAGCAACAGAGACTTGAGGAGAAGGAGGAATACTAGGAAACGGATGGCATGGGTGGAGTAGGTAAGACAAACATCTCTTACTTTGTTTCTTTTTCTTCATTAAGAAATTAAAACAAATCTTTTCAGAATTTATCTTGCCTACTCACCCACTCCATGAGCTTCCCGGAATCCTAACTCCTTCTCCGTTGTCTCTCCATTTTCTCATGTCAAGCAAGCGGCCACCATGCTCCTAACGTTGATTACAACACTATATATATAGTGACAAAGTGTAACCCTGGCAAAAAAAAAAGTGAAAACCCTAAGGATCTTTATTTGCATTGGTCCAAACATGATAAGGTGATAACGGATAATAGTGGCAAGTTAAGAATTGCCCATTCATATTTCTTGGTTTAGTTACCAGGTCCAGGTTGAAATGATTGGGCTCCATTGACAGTATTAGCCCAAAATGCAATTATTCGTTTTGGTCCTATTAGTAAAGATGCAACGAGAATTTTCCTTGATTTTCTGCGGAGAGCAAGACGAGAATTCTATATCGAACCGAAAAAAGTTCATTTTATATATGGATTACTTGAGACCAAGATACCCTTACATACTTTTCTTCCTCTTGGTCGGTCATGTTTAATAACGATTAATAGAATATAATAATAATAATTTTATATTTATATTTAGCTTGTATATAAAAAAAAAAAGATAGATTACCAGAGAAATTAATCATTCTTTTTATATAAGATAATTTAATTTTTTTAAATAAAAAAATTATTAAATTCATGAAACTGAACTTATATATTTTATTATACCTTTAAATATTGTATCAATAATTTAAATGCTATAAATTTTAAAAAATAATAATTTTAACCACTAAATAAATTATTTTATCTTAATTCTTATACACATCAAACACAAGATAAATTGATATTATGTAATATAATTTTATTCATAATATCATTTTATTTTATTCTATCATAATTTTATATACTAAACACATTATTAATACTCAAGAATAATATTTAGTATCTTTTACAAGATCATTATAATAAATTATCGAAATAATTTTATTATTAAAATGATCTTATCACTTCTTATTTAAAATCATTTTATTTGGTTAATAATAGTTAATTCTTAAAAATTAAATCACTGTATTTGATATTATTAAAATTCAAATATTATTTTATTTAAAAATATAAAAATAACCATACATATTATAATAATTACATAAGTTAATGATTTTAATATTATTTAAAGATAATAATTTGAAAAATATTAGTAATATTTTATTTATTTTATAATAAAGTATAATTAAATTATTAAATTAATAAATGTATTTATTGATAGGTAAATTAATTTTTATAATAAATTATACAAAAATTTTGAATTAAAAATAAAAATATTTTATTAAATTAATAATAAAAGAAAAATAAAAAGATTGTATTATATATAAAATATAAAAATATACATAGAAATTATTTTTAAACTTACGACAATGAATATTAGTTTGAAAATATAAAAATTTATAATATAAAATATTAAAATTTTAAGAGAAAGTAAATTTTTAATTCACATATTAAATGAATAATAGTGATTATTGTTAATTTTACATATCATTTCACTTCAATGATAAATTTTTTTTACTTTTTTAGATAAAAATTTTATCACTCTCCAAAGCTATTATATGGTAACTTTTAATTATCTAAAATCACTGACAAGTAAGATATCAAATAAAGTGATTTAGTCGCAATGTATAAATCACGATGATTTTTGAAATGATCATCTAAAACCAAACATTACCTTAGATATTCTTTGGCTATCGATGAAGTATATACATACATAAATATATACATATATATATACATACATATATATATATACTTGGCAAGTAGAAAAAAAATTACTTCACATATATAATATTAAGTTGCATATATATATATATGTATATATATATATGCCAAATAGTAGAGCATATTATCTGTAATTATTGTAATATAATTAATTAATTATAATTAAGAATTATGTGAGTTTTATAAAAAATTTATATAAAACCTATACTTATAAGTGATGAATTTATATATAATTAATTATTATGATTGGATAATTGTAAATTTGTAGTTAAAATAATTGTAGGTCAAATTAATGTTCCGCATTAACCTAAAGCGAGATCAAGTAATATCAAAGGCAAACATGTCTCAGGTCCCATTTGGATTCAATTGTGGCTCCGGTGGGGATGCTTTTTGTTAGAAAAGTTGTGCCAAATGCACCATGCAGGCATTTGGCAGACTGCTCCAGGGGATTTGAAGGTTTAAGCACACCAAACCTATTTTTTTCACTGCTGACTCTCGCCTTCAGTGAAAAAATCGTTTCTCCATCGCGGCCTCCTTTCCTATAATGTCCTTATTTTATTTTATTTTATTTTTTTACTTTTTAAACAATTGTGTAGGATAGGAAACGTCCCTTACACTTGTAGCTTTTAACTTTGCTTTTTCATTATTTTTATTTTTTGGTTATTTTATACAAAAACAATATACATAAAAACTAATTGTTTAAAAATATTTAATAGTAATATATTATTTGTTATAAAAATAATTTTAAAAATTTCAATTTATTAATAAAAATATTATTTGATAAAAAATAATTTTAATTAATTATTAATTTTAAAAATATTAAATATATATTATAAATTTCATTATATATAAATTTTAATTTAATATCTTTAACAATCATTTTAATTTAATAATTATATATTATAAATTATATATAAATTTTAATTTAATAGTCATTTAATAATCATCCAAATAGACCCTTTCATGGTTAGAGTAATGATTGATTAATTTGTCCTTTCCATTAAGGACTTGCTCTTGACCTCTGCTGTAATATCATGCCGTTAACAAGGTGTATCTAGCCAGGTAGCTAGCATTAGCCTATCTGCAAGCTGTCAAGGATCAAGGCTTTTTGATCGATTGAATAACACAGAAAGCACTGCTATTATGAGTTGAGACAGAAATCCAGAAACATGGTCTTGATGCACAAGTTTCAGGAAATAAAATTGTAGAAAAATTACTCCACGTTGCATTTGTTACCAACAGCAATAGAAAGCCAAATTACTGTACCGTTAGACAACCTTATCACAGCCTTTACCATTTGGCATGTCTCTTGCTCTAGTTTTTAATCTCGTTATGGGCAAAGAAGCGGCGGCCCAGAAGTGAGAATCACGGCATACATTAACACCTCATTCACCCATAAGATCAAGTTTAAATAAACGTCTATGCATTTCCGGAGAAATCCATTCTTATATCGCAATATTCCATTACTTTTTTATTAATTACCATCACTTCATTATCTGCATATCAAACTGACGCATTAATTGTTTACTTTAGCTCGTGCTTTCTCATATTCTTTCTTTACCCGTGAAATCACCGTCTCTTGCCTTTGAACATTATTCTTGTTTTTGTTATTGTTATCTCTGAGCAACAAAACATCATGGGCAAACCTAATACAATTCGATGAGGTGGTCCCTTCCTTCGCAGGCTTCAAAAACGTTATCATTTCATCACCAATTACAATAAATTAACTTATGTAAATAAGATCAGACTAGGAGTTGAGTTGCTTTCAGTGGTTTGACGTTTGAGCCTTAAACTTGTGCATATAAATATATATGGTTGATTGGTGGCTTGAAAACTTTACTGTTGCTTTTAATTGGTGTATGCAATGTCAACTTTTTTCTGTTGAAGTTAGAAATTCGTTCTTTGTCAACATGTCAAGTTTGATTTTATTGGCTAAAAACATGCAAGGTAATTGGCCGCTGAAAGAAACAAAACACAAAGCAGCAAATATGGTGTGCTGAGGAGCGGAATTTTAAGAGCCCAGACGCCCATATAAAGTCTTAGACTGCAGAGGTATTAGTGTAGATATATAGAAAAATAGGAAGAGAATGAGTAAGCTGAAAATAAAGAAGTTCGCCATGTTTCAAGTTTTTTTTTTTTTTTTGTTTTTGTAAATCTCTTATTTTCATAATGAAATTCTTTTTTTCTTTCTCGTTGTGACCTGTGGACGTAGGCTTAAATCTTTGTGTGCATTATTTCTTTTGTGATCATTTTATTTTTTCACTTTCCAAATAGTTTATTCTAATTGTGGAATTGAAACCATTTTTCATACCACACATTGAATATATCTATATACACACAGACTATAGCACTGATGATTTTCTAAGCAAAAAAATAAGAGTACTACTATAATTAATGAACAGGAAAACACAGACTGTAAATGGTAAACTTTAGCTTAGAAAAAACTGTAAATACTAAGCAGTGGAATTAGTGTGATTGTGAATATATATTACCGGCATTTAGTAGTTAGTGTCAGGGAAGGGTTAGGGTTGCATATATTAAGGAGAAAAGATAAAAATAGGCTGGTTGGTATTTATGTCACGGACTTAAGGAAGAATCTTGAATCTCATATCGAATATAACAAGAGGGTTACTAGGATATAAAAGGGTTCACACCACTTCTGTCTTGTGAGACGTCGTTTGTAAGACAAAACCGTGAGACCAGGGAGGTCAGAGCAGACAATACCTCATAAGGGTGTGAACCATGACAGATAGGTTGATCGGAACGCCAGAAGGGTGAATGTCCGGGTCCTGGAGCCGCGCGGGTTCAGAGCTTAAGTCTCGGCCCGTGACAAGTGGTATTAGAGCCAGCCCTAAACCGTTCGATTTATGCCAAGCACGTCGAGGGAGGTAGACAGGGTGGCCAGCCTCCGTGACGAAGGCGTCACGAGGTTGGGTGGAGGAGAATGTCACAGATCTAAGGAAGAGTCCTGAATCTCACATCGAACATAATAGGAGGGTCACTGGGGTACAAAAGGGTTCACACCATCCCTTCCTTATGAGGCGCCTTTTGTAGGACAAAGCTGTGAGGTCAAGGGGGGCCAAAGCGAATAATACCTCACAAAGGTGTGAATCGTGGCAGAAAAACTGATCTGAGACACCGGATGAGTGCATGCTCGGGTCCTGGAGCCGTGCGGGTTCAGAGCCAGTGACAATGGCCTGCACAAGTTGTGAGCATTGAAAGAGAACATGTATAATTCATACATTACACATACGGTGCAATATACATATGTATATATGTGGCGGTAGGCTCCGCAGCCAATATGACATTAAAATATATGATCTTTATGGCTTATTCTTTTAATCATTTAAATTAAGTCCTTTCATATTCTCACAAATTTTTTTTTTTGAATTGTAAGCTCTTTACCCTTAAACCCAAGACCTCACCGTGAGCTTTTCTTATTTTCAGCTCACTTTACTTTACTATCCCTTTCTCTACACTGCTTAAAATTATTTCTCTCAATTTTCTATACGGCAAAGCTTAACAAAGCAAGGCATTTATAGGGTCATTGCTGGGTGCGTTGATCAATTCAGTGCATGTCCATCAGTTAACACTTACATTCTTATTATTTTACTGAAAACGTAGTGCCATTACAGCCAATGAAGAATATTAAGTATTGGTATTTATTGTCTATCCCAAAGAGGCACTCTAAGTGCAAGTGCAA